TAACGAATGTCTATATCTAATCTCTATTATCTACGAGTATATCTAAATTATCTACACCTTTATCTATAAGGCTATATCTGTATCTAATCTATATGATTTCTATCTATATATCTATATAAATTATATTAAGAATATTTATAATTTCCAGAGTGACAGCATAGCAGGGATTTTTGCCTTGCACATGGCCAACCAGATTCAATCCCCAGAATCTCATATGGTCCCCCAAGCACTGCCAAGAGTAATTCCTGAGTGCAGAGTCAGGAGTAAACCCTGAGCATCACTGGGTGGGACACAAAAGAAAAAAAAAGACTATAATTCTATGAAACTATGTCATCAGTATCTGTGTGCCTATATAAAACATGAAAAGCTACAAACTCATATCTGTATCTAATCTATATCATCTGTAATCTATATCATTTACAATTGTATACATATATCTACATATTATTAAAATAAATTTTAATTTAAATTATATTAAATAAATGTGAATATATTTTACATAAAATATATTGATATATATTTAATCACAATTTACAAAAAAAGTTGAGGTTATATTTTTTGTGGTGCCAGGGATCAAAAATGGTGCCTTGGGGGTATGGTGCCACCAGCAGGTCAATCTGTACCTGTGAGGCGAGTGCATCAGCAGCCTGATGGCGCCTTCAGACTTCCAGATACCCCAAAATTGCTGCGGTGCCTTTGGCCAGACCCCAAAAACTTGGGGCAAAGTTTACCAAGAAAGTAAAAGTTAGGCCAAAAGTTAGCTACGTGGGAGACACCGTCTCCGGCTCAGCTATATAATTGGAGGCATGGCCTCTCTGGTTCCTGATCGAACTGCTTAACGGCCATGATCACAGAGACTCAGAAACGAATGTGGGAGACACCACCTCCAGCTCAGCTATATAATTGGAGGCATGACCTCTCTGGTTCCTGATCGAACTGTTTAACGGCCATGATCCCAGAGACTCAGAAGCGAATATCGGATCCCAAAGGCTTTTGGCAGAAATGCATCCTGTTCCTGCAGTAGTTTACTGGCACTGGGCCACTCCAGGTGGGAATAGGTTTTGTGCCTTGGCCTGTTCCCCTGGCGGCACAGGCACCACCATCCTCCAGAGGCCACTGGACAGTCAGGTTTGGGCCTGCAGTGACAAGACACGTGGGGCCTCACCAGATGGGGGTGGAACTGGCCCTTTCCTCCCCATTCCAATGAGACCCCAAGTCGCCATCTACAAACAGCCTCTCTGGCTCCTGATAAAGCTATTAACGGCCATGATCTCAGAGACTCAGAAACAAATCTCAAAACCCAGCGTTTTTGGCAGAAATGCATCAGGACCACATACAAGGTGGCCGCCACCTCAGAGGTTATTGGAAAGCAAGGTATGAGCCAGCGGTGACAGGGTCACTGCAGTCTCATGGGAAGGGGGGCGGTACCGGCTCGTCCTTCATGTCCTAACGAGGTCACAAGTTGCCCCCCACGAGCGGCTCTCTGGCACGGCCATGGCTCCAGAGGCAAAAGGACTTAGTCCAGAGCCCGGCAGCTTGCCGCAGAAAAATGAATGGACCATGCATTAAACTACGGCACCATGCCTCCCCGGGAGGGAAAGGGTGTTGCTCCCTTCTGCCTCCCCCCCCCCCCCCCGCCCCCAGCAGCACTGTGGCCACCACCTCAGAGCTTATAGGAAAGTCAGGTATGAGTTGGCGGTAACAGGGCAACTGCAGTCTCATGGGAAGGGGAGCGATACTGGCTCGTCCTTCATGGCCTACTGAGGTCACAAGTTGACTCCCACAAGCAGCTCTCCAGCACAGCCATAACACCAGATGCACAGAAACCAATCTTGTAATTATCTGGCTCTTTGCAGAAATCTAAAATCATTATATGATTCTCATAACCAGCTATAGAAAACAAAGTATTTCACAATGTCTTTTTGGCAATTCTGATTGTTGGGGGGGGGGGGATTCTAAACAATACTGGTGCATCTTTTGTTGAGATAATGAATGTAGTCAATGTAGAAAAGAGTTAAGTAGAAATCATCTGCCTCACAGGCATTGGAAGGAGTGGGACCGGGGTAAATTGGGGTTCTTGGTGGTGAAAAATGAAAACTTGTGTAGGGAAAGGTGATCATTGTATGATCAAGACTTAAACCTGAAAACTTTGTAACTTTTCCCACAGTGATTCAATAAATAAATATAAGAAGAAAAAAATGGTGCCTTACACATACTACATTCTACCCTTGAGTCACATTTCCCCTGGCAATTTTTTCTTCTTATATTTTTAATTGGAAACACGTCACCCTTAGCTACTTGTTCATCTCCATGTGCCTATATATAACATAAAAACCTATAAACTTATATCTGTATCTAAATCCACATCACCTGTAATCTATATTATTTCTAAAGGCATCTATATCATATACATATTACTAAAATTAATTTTAATTATATTCATTTCATTTTTCATTTCATCATCCTGTTATTTGTCGATTGCCTCGAGCAGGCCCCAGTAACGTCTCTTTCATCCTAGCCCTGAAATTATATTCAAGGCTCTTTAGGAGAATGAGACCCATCATTGTTACTGGTATTTGGCATATTTGGTATGCCACGGGGAGTTTGCCAGACTCTGCCCTGTGGGCAGGCTACATTCGATAGCCTGCAAGTTTGTCCAAAGTAGGAATGAGATAATAAGAAGTCATAAAAAGATGTTCTGACATGATGTCGCGCGGCCGCATTTGCGGCTGCTCGGTTCTGGGAACTGGATTTTATAGTCTCTGAGTCTTGGCCGTTGATGGGATTACATGGCGCCAGGGGGCCAGGTGGTGGGTGTGACCCCCGCCTACTGGAATTTGGAGGATCTGGGTGGAGGATGCTCGACTCCAATCCTAGTAGGCTTGGAGGTCTCGGCCCCGGAACCCGCGTGGATTTGTCCCTCTGCCAGTACCTTCATGTGTGCGGAGAGTGGTCTCAGCATGGTGGTGGCTGGTCCTGGAGGTCTTCGGCTGCCGGAGCCCTGGTCGGGGCGGGGAGGAAAGCTCAACCCGCTCCCCTCCAAGGGGCCCAGGCGAGGAACAGCCAGGTGCGGGGGCATTTATTTAATTATATTAAATAAATAAATAAATAAATAAAAATATATATTTACATAAATATATCAATATATATAATCATAATTTATTAGGAAAATTGGGGTTTTTTTTTGTGGTACCGAGGATCAAACCGAGAGCCTTACACATGCCAAGCTTTACCCCTGAGTCACATTCCCTCTGGCATTAGCACTGTCACTGTCCTCCCATTGTTCATCAATTTGCTCGAGTGGGCCCAGTAACGTCTCCATTGTGACAATTGTTACTGTGTTTGTCATATCAAATACATCACGGATAGCTTGCCAGACTTTGCCGTTCAGGCAAGATACTCTTGGTAGCTTGCCGGGCCCTCCAAGAGGGGCGGGGAATTTATTATTATTATTTTTACTTGGAAACATCATTCTTAGCTACTTGTTCATCTCTGTGTACAAGGTGAGAAGAATCAAAGTGGTTTTTGTTCTTCAAAGGGGATAAATAGTTCTTAGGGAACAGGTGAGAGCAAAGAAGTCGAATATGCTCTGAGTTGAGCACTCTCTCATGCCCCTGCTCAGAGCGAACCCAGGGGTCATGAAGGAGGCTGGGGAGAGGCAGTGACCCCTACCTGAAACTTTGGCTCCACAGCAGTAAACAGGGGGCTCCAAGTGGACGCAGCAGTTTCTGAACACTGTGGCTCTAATAACCACAAAACCAACCAACTCATAGGCCCAACCCCAGGGACAAAGCACTTTCTAGGGTTCAACAAAGATTATTCACTTAACTATTTCATTAATCTAATTTTTCTTCTATCTTCAACACCACAGTTTATTTATGTCTCTTTTTCAAATTAAACACTGCTGTCATAAATTCTCACAAAGTTTATGGAGAAAATCAAACCATAAGATCCAAATGCAGTATATAAAATGTGTGTCTACAGAAGAGCAACACATACAGAGACGTATTAAACTAAAAAAGAAAAAATGTTTAATTTACGTCTCCTCCCAGAAAGAAGCATTTCTATCTGCTGTCTAAAATATTAGTTTCCACCCTATTCTGACCAAGTGATGGAAATAATTCCAGGTATTTGATATGGTAGAAGAGATCAAAATGAATACGAGAACTTGCACACAAGTCAGATTCTTTGTATTATTTCCTGTTTTGTATTGTGACTGACAATTGAAAGAAAGTGAAAAACAATTTTAGTATCACTGTTCCAAGTTCTTGATAGTAGAAATGAGACCAAAAGGTAAAATTAGAAAATCATAGAGTGTTTTCAACCTAAGTTGAATGAAATGTGTTTGTTTTTGCACTTGGCGACTATTAGGGCATCGCTCAAGGCTTACTCCTGACTCTGTGCTCAGGGATGACTCCGGACATTGCTCAGGGAACCATTAGGGTTGCTCGGGATGGAGCTAGATCCTGTGTGTGCACAACAATCACCTTACTCCTGGATTATCTGATTGATCCTTAAGATGAATAAATTGAAGAAAGAAGTTGCCTAAAGTTAATTATCTCAATTGCAATGCGTGTTCCACAATATATACCTATTTTGAAATTTCAGGCTGATACCATTTTTATTGATCAATCAGCAAATGCTTAAGATGGGGAACAACATCTCTGAGAACCCAGCAGTGAGGAATAAAAGCAAAAAGACAACAGCAGGAATCTCCTAGTTGTTATTTCTCTTCTGCAAATGGCATGAAGAAAGAACCAGATAAGCCCAGACTACCTGATGGGGATCACTGCGCATCCAATGTGTCCCCTCCTCCCACTTTGCCCCTCCCTGTGGGTATTAATCAGTTAGCTAAGAGGCATCAGGAAGTGACAGTGACCGACGAATTCCAGTCCCAGAGTTCAGGGTCTGCCCACCTTTCCCTGCACTAGCCCACTTTGTTCACCCATGTGTCCCATGTCCTCTCTGCCTTTGCTCCCGCCATGGCCAGTGAGCCTTACCTTCCTTCAGCATGCCCACTTTCAAACACTTCATGAAGCGGCAAGCCTGGCACGATTTACGTCTACGCTTCGTGATTTCACATTCGTTCGTCGCTGGGCAGCTATACTCGATGTTACCTAGGACACAAGTGTTTGCAGAAAAGAAACCATTAGATTTTCAAAGCAGTGCGTGCATGCCTGTGTGTGTGTGTGTGTGTGTGTGTGTGTGTGTGTGTTGGGTGGGTGGTCAGGGGAGCATCCCACAGCCAGGCTGCACTCTGAGACTCCCACCATCTCTCCCAAACCCCCAAGGTCATGGCAACAGGAGGCTGCCTCATATCCCCCACCTATCAGAGGAGATGAACAAGAATTACATCAAAAAACCAGTCTTCAAATTCATCTTAAAACCCTTTGCTCAGTCCATCCCAGGAAAGGTCTTCCAGATCCTTCGGATCCCAAAGAGAACTGCAGGGTAGATTGATTTTCCAAGGAAACACATGCATCCAAACTGGGCTGTGAGTCCTGGATTTCTTTAGGCTCAGCTGCTTCTTATTACCTTTCTGACACAGATCTGCATAAAGCACGCTGTGATCAAATGATTGATTAGGGAGGCTATAGAAAGCTCCTGGAGGGCAGGAATTGAAATGACACAGTTCTTCCGGCATCCACAGAGCCTTACAACACAGCCGGATGCTTGGTAATGGCTCGTGATGAAGATTGTGATGATGATGATGATGATGATAACGATGATGGTGTGATGATGATGGTGATGTTTGTTACACTATTTGCATAAATAATCCGAAACACTCTGGCTCTATAGAAGTGTTACAAATAAAAAGTAAACTGCTATGAAATTAAATGTTGCACGAGAGATTCATATCCCTTATGGCAGTGCCTACACATATTTGAACCAACTATGAAGCCAGAAGAAACACACATGTGACTTGCCATTTCTCACCATGAGAAGCAACCTCAGTGTGGGGGCTGCACTCTGGGACTGCCTCTGGCTTTCTACAGGGGTGGCCCTTACCAGGAGGCCTTTCTGCCCTCTCAGTTCTGGCACCACGGACTGTAAGGTCTTTTCTTACTTACTAACCCTTTCCCCTGGTGATTAAGTGCATTAGTATCTTAATGAAAATGCATTCTGTTTATTGCCCTCTTGGGAAGGGGAGGTCATCACACCAAAAGCATAAATTGTCATCAGAGACAGTCCAAGCATAATTGCAATTTTGCTGCTCCCTGCGAGCAATTGTCGGAGTCTGTCCGAGTCCCCTGGAACCTGTGCCGAGGTTTGTAATTAGCATAGAGGCTGCCTGGGACCACAGCATTGATGAAATATTTCAGAGTTAATCACACTTTGTAAACACTGATTTATATTGACTACCTTTCTCCAGACTGATGTCTCCTCATTAAATATCACATTAGTGGATTGCAGGATTGTACAAAGACTCAACTCCTCAGCAACTGCTAATTCAACAGGAAGTAATACCTAACCACTTAGAACTTAAAAAAGGGGGGTGGGGGGACTGGCTGTGCATTCTGATTTGAGATAAGCCTATCAACATTGACAGACTAAATTAGCATTCTAATTTGCAGCATTTATAATAATAAAAGTAACTGCTTTTTTTTAACATAAAATGCTAAAAAGGACGAGTAAAACTAACTGCATCAACAGAAGCATATCCCGTCACCACGGTCAGAGAAATTGCTCCACTCACGGAAAACCTAGAACAAGTCCAAGGAACCAGATTGGCTGGGGTCAGCGCCAAGAACAAAAGGTGAAAATTTATTTTGCATCCATAGGATGTTGCTAGTAATTTGCTGGGGGTCAATTAGTACTCCACTACCAGACCCTTCCACTCTACATGGCTCTCCCTGGACTTGAAAGCAATGCCTGGCCTCTGCCTTGGGAAGGGTGGAAACAAACGGCAAGATTAGTCTTTGATTCCTTCCAAGTATCCAGGCACCAGCTCTGGGTCCAAACTTTAACCCAGTGTTGGAAATTTCCACTGGGATACCCCGAATCTGTCCCTTCTCCCCAGTCAATCACCTCTAAGAAGCATATCCTCATCCAGAACAATGCGATTTTCAAAGAACTTCTATCGGGCATGTGTGAGCTAATGCATGAACTATGACACTATGGCATATCTCTCCTAACTGTGCATCTATCCTGCCTTCTTTCTCTCTCTACTTCATGCTGATAGCATATCTTTGTGTTCTTTCGACCATTCTAATCACATCCCCAGACTAGTAGATAGATAGACAGACAGACAGACAGACAGACAGATAGATAGATAGATAGATATTTTAATTAAGTAGGCCCCATAACTTCTATAAGTAGGTCTTCATAACTTTCTATAGAGACTAATAGAAAGAATTAGACTTACCAACAAATCCCCTTCCGACTCACTAATTATCATTGACTTCCCCAGCAATATATAATCATACCCTTCTAAAAACTTTTGGATGCTTTAAACGCCATTGATTCATTTTCTGCTATGTCCTTCAGACTTCCCTCTGAGAATGATCTATCTTTGATCCTCTTTTCTTCTTAAAATTACTTCCAAGGTGCAACATTCAACTTAAATTCCACTCAAATCTTTCATGAAAATTTCTCAGCTAATCTTAGCAGGAAATTATTTCTTGGTTCTCCTATCATTCTAGGTACTCTCATCAGAGAGCAAAAGATCCTATTTTGTTACACTTTTTTTTCAGGCATATTACACAGTAGAAAGTAAGAACCTAAAAGCAAGGTTATTTTTTATGCATAAACTGTCCAGAGAGAAATAGAATTTAAATAAAATAACACATTGAAAATAGCATAACATTGTTTTTATGTATGTAGGTCATTTTGGGAAGCATCAATGATTGCTTTGAAACAAGCCAAGTGAGCTGGAGGCTCCTTCAAGACATACAAGAAAAAAGATTACAACAACAACAACAACAATAATAATAACATGCAGGGTAATGTGATTTATTTTCCAAACCCTGAAAATTAGCTTTATCAGAAACAGAAATGGATGGCAGAACAGGAAGAGAACATTCAGGTAAGGTCAAATAGTACAAAGTTTTCTGGGGAGTGAAAAGAAAATCAAAATGGTAAAAGAGATTTTAAAGAAAAGAAAAATCCATCATGAGATAAATAGGGCATGAATAAAGGGAATTAATATATGAAGATACATCCTGTAGAACTAAGGTATTTTATTTTGGTATTATCAGAATACTTATTATTTATAAATCAGAGATTCTCAGAATTAGAACTACATTGGAGCAGATAAGTAGGAGTGATTAATTCTGTAACAGTAGCCAAATATACGAATGCCTCTAGTAAAAAATGATTGTGTGTAGATTTTTAAAGTGCAGGGACATAGAGACAGTACAGAATGTAAGGCTTGCTTTGCATTTGGCTGACCTAGGTACAGCAAGAATGGACTGTTACTGTATATGGTCCCCTAAGCACTGCCAGGAGTGATCTCTGAGCACAGAGCCTGGAGTAGCCCCTGAACAATGCCAAGTGTGACCCAACCCCTTCACCCCCAAATAATATTTTAAAATTACTTTTTTAAAAAAATTTTAATTGCTTGGGTTTCGATTATACAATGATCAGATACTCATCCCTTCACCAGTGCCCATTTTCCACCACCATGGATAATATCCCCACCACCATCATCCCTCCATCCCCCCTGCCTCTGTGGCAGGGGAATCCCTTGTGTTCTCTCTCTCCTTTTGGGTATTGTGGTCTGCAAAAGAGGCATTGAGAGGCAAACATGTTCAGTCCATAGTCTACTTTCGAAATGCATCTCCCCTCCTGGGAGGATTCTCCAAACACCCTTTATTTGGTGCTCCCTTCTCTATCTGAGCTGCCCTTTCCCCTAGAATGTCCGGCTGGCCTCTAAGCTATTGAGTAATCCGCCTGGTGCTGATCTCAGCTATTCTTGGGTATTAATCTCATATTTTGTTACTTTATAACCCCCAGATGAATGCAATCTTTCTATGTCTATCCCTCTCTTTCTGACTCATTTCGCTTAGCATGATACTTTCCATGTAGTACCACTTGTATGTAAATTTCATGACTTCATCTTTTCTAACAGCTACATAGTACTCCATTGAGTAGATGTACCAAAGTTTCTTTAACCAGTCATCTGTTCTTGGGCATTCAGGTTTCTTCCAGTTTCTGGCTACTGTAAAGAGTGCTGCAATGAACAAACAAGTGCAGATGTCACTTCGACTATACATTTTTGCCTCTCTGGGATATATTCCCAGGAGTGGTATTGCTGTGTCAAATGGGAGCTCAATTTCTAATTTTTTGAGAATCGTCCATACTCTTTTACAGAAGGGCTGAACCAGTCGACATTCCCACCAACAGTGAAGGAGTGTCCCTTTCTCACCACATCTGTGCCAGCATCGGTTGCTTTTGTTCTTTTGAATGTGGGCCAGTCTCTGAGGTGTGAGATAGTGTCTCATTGTGGTTTTGATCTGCATCTCCCTGATGATTAATGATCTAGAGCATTTTCTCATGTGCTTTTTGCCATTCGGATTTCTTCTTTGAGAAAGTTTCTGTTCATTTCATTGCCACATTTTTGGATGGTGTTGGACGTTTTCTTCTTGTGGAGTTTAACCAATAATTTGTATATCCTGAATATCAACTCCTTGTCAGATGTGTATTCGGCGAATATCCTTTCCCATTCTGTAGTCTGTCTTTGTATTTTGGTCACAGTTTCTTTGGAGGTGCAGAAGCTTCTTAGTTTAAGATACTCCCATTTATCTATCTCTGTTCTCACTTGCTCGGCCAGTGGCGTGGCATCTCTGAAGATACCATTAGCTTCAATGTCATGGAGGGTTTTGCCAACTTTGTCTTCAATGTACCTTATGGTTTCTGGTCTGACGTTGAGGTCTTTAATCCATTTTGATCTTACTTTTGTACATGGTGTTAGGCAGAGTTCTGAGCCCATTTTTTTGCATGTAGCCGTCCAGTGATGCCAGCACAATTTGTTAAGAGGCTTTCCTTACTTCACTTCACATTTCTTGCACTTTTATCAAAGATTAAGTAATCATATGATTGAGTGGAGATGTCAGTGTATTCAACCCTGTTCCATTGGTCTGCAGTTCTGCCTTTGTTCCAGTACCATGCTGTTTTA